TGAGGCGAGAAAATACGAAAAAAAAAACATTTCCGTAGAACATTAGTCTGAGTGTAGGTGTAGGTATCTATGCCGTCTCTTCACATACCTACATCCACACCCCATATTGACTATTGGTTGGTCTATTCTGCCTTATCTACCTTGCTCATCTCATGTCCTTGTGTGAATAGATATCTGTAGTTCTATCTCTATGTCAATAGAGAGTCCATCGGTCGGTTGACGCTTTCTCATTTTGTAGTAGAAAAAGAGTATCACGTCTTTTTTAGACTGTTTTCTCCGACTGTATCGTTTATATACTCTTCGTTTGTATAGTAACTTTGATACAATGAAGATGCGGTTTCCTCTCATCATTTGACATGTAAGAAATACTTTTCATGCTGTCTTCATTTCGAAAGTATGTCATAATACATTATGTAGTTCTTAATTTATCATCTTACTTTTATTTCATCCAGCCATTGTAAGGTTTTTTATGCATGAACGTTGGTGGAAATCAGTCTTTTGATTTAAAGAGCCCCTCAGACTTGATTTCCCACTTAGAGCGGACTGTTCAGGATGAAATTCTCAGGAACAATTGGTTCTAATGAGAAACACTTCTGGTAAAAATTTCAGCCTGATATACCAGACTAGACCGAACTTTTGGCTTGTTTTTCGACCTTTGAGGGAGAATCGAAATAACTCCGTCGTTATGAGAGGTACAAAACTCGGGCTGATTTCAAAATAAGGCTAGCTTCTATGCACAACTTTTCATCGGACGGAATTTGTGAACTCTCTTCCATTTATTTTTCATGAGTATTTTAATGGACATGATGTTCAAAATAAGCATAAAAAAGGTGACTAGATCGACAGTAAATTCCACTTTTCTTGGTCCAGGAATTAAATATCAAAAATTCGTCCAATGAAAAGTTAGCTCTCATTCAGACCTTTAAAACAAAAAAAAACGTCGATTATACCCCGAGTCTAGGGGTGTTATTTCAATTTTCCTGGCTAGAAACTGTGTGCTGAGAAAAACGCTAAAGAAGTTTTAGAAATGTACTTTTTCACTCAAATCTAGGAACAAATCATATTACAATAATATATTTTTTATATATTAAAGTACGTAATGAATGAAGGTAGCTAACGATATCTGACATGCTGGTTAATATAAAAATGTTCTATTCAATGATAATGTAAGTGGCAACGCAGTTTTTCCAAAATTGAAAAATTTTAAGAATCACGAAAATTTCTCCGAAAATAGAGTAGTAGAGTCAAAGTTTTGTATGATAAGTCTTTGAAAATCTGATCATTTTCCAAAAGCCATATATATTCTGAAGGAGAAAGCTTCGCTGTATGTTCCTGTGATAAAAACTCAACTTCGATATTTCTTTGAAAAATTCGATTTTTTAAGGGAAGATTCCCTTAATGCAAACTTCATTCATGGTGATGTAAAGTATGTAAAATCACATCTAATTGAAAGTTGCCGTCAGAATGCTCATTCATGTTTAAGCGCCACAGAATACAAGAGAAAAAGAATTACTACTTCACGTCTTACATTCTTTTTGTTTTTTTTTCTTCCTTCATCATGTGCGCTTATTGCATCACGTGTAAATAGCCGTACGAAGAAAAAAAAAGGAATAAAAAGTATTCTCGACCTTTTTTTTTATTGGAGAAGCCTTGTAGTGTAAAAAATATAACATATGGAAAGAAAAAAATTGTGGTCAAGTTTTTGATGTAGATAATCACTTTGAACTGTTTCATACTTAAACAAATCGATCATTCATCATCGATATGGATTTCTTCACTGTCATTGTTGTTCTAATGTTACATCTTATATTATTAACTCAAAGTGAACTCGAACCATGTCCTAAACCATGGAGATTGCCATGTCCACCACCTCCTTGGCAACCTACATACAATATGCAATTGTCAACGCAACATTATTTCTATTCAAGTGAAGGTTTTTATGATAATGAAACAGTTTCTTTTGCAGCATTACACGGTGTTGTTGGTGTAGATTGGGCTAATCATTATGATCTCCCAATGCATCGAGAAGAAACATTAGTTCAGCAAGCGGCCTTCATTAAAGCTGTTAATCCGAAAACTCGTGTATTCGTTTATCGTCAATCTGAACTTGCACTCAATATCTTTGATAATGGTGCGAAAGTAATGTATGATCCTTCGAAAACTGATTGGTTCGTTTTATTTCCGAACGGCACTATTTACAATGATTCTGTTATAGTCGACAACTATCGTATGGATCAATTCTGTTGGGATCATAGAAATCCAAAAGTACAAGACTATTTTGTAAATTATTATGTAGGTAGTGCATTTAGTCAATCAATTGTTGATGGAATTTTTTACGATGATGATGGAGGTATTTGGGATGAACGATCAAACTATCCTAATTATACTGAAGAATATCGACAAGCTGTCGATGCAGCTCAACAAGTATCTTTAAAACGAGCATGGGAACTTGGACTCAAATATGATAAACATGCATGGCAAGCTTGGTTAAGTCCTAATGTACCATCTAGTAATGACACACCAGCACAATGTGCAGAAAAAATGAAAACTGCAATATCAATGAAAAATGTACCAGTTACATTTCCTGCTATGTACAATGGTGCATGTGATTATCCATGGGAACAATGTCAAGATCTTAAACAACAATTAGCTGCATTTCTAATTGCACGTGGTGATTATTGGCTATTCTTTACACCAAATTCATGGTGGAAAGAAGGATTTGAAACTGATTATGGTGTACCTTTAAATGATGCTTATGAACCTTTTCCCAATTTCTTTGTACGAAAATGGAGTAATTGTACTGTTTATTTAGATTGTAACAATTTTATATCAGATATTATTTTTCCTTCAGTTAATCGTAAACGAACATGGCGTGGCTACTTAGTTTTTTTCAAATATCTCTATCATTTTTATCATCTTGTATGTCGATTTTGTCGTATGTTTTATTTCTAAATTCTTATATTAGAATGACAATATATATATGAGACTTTTTGTTTATTTCAAAATTACTTGTCTATTAATATAGAATATTGTGCTACCAGTTCTTTCTCTAGTAAATACAGAGACTATAAATTACAGGAGACAAAAAAATAAAAATCAAACTTCTAAGATATTACAAAAATAATTGTTAAATTCAAAACTTTGACAATAACTGAAAAGTTCAATTTTGTCTTGAACGAACAAGTATGTTAATCTATTGTTTGCTTATGGTTTTTCTTAAAGTTCTTTCCTTTTATTCTACCAAGACAAATACGTGCATCAAATTCAATAAAAAACTGTCGAATATACATATGCAGTAAATCAATGCGTGTTGCCGATGAATTATTGTAGTCATTATTGAATTAATCAAGCGTGCCAAATAAACTTTCAGCAAGTACAAGATTTAAATTTAATTTATCAGTAACTTTTGATAAATGATACGTAGTTGTAGTAGAGAAAGAAGTAGTTTTGACAAGATTTTCACAATTTTCATGTATATTCGGTAGAGAAGAACGTACAATGCGTCTTTCTGAAATATTAAAAAAAAAGAACAAGTAAAATATGTCGAAATAGATACTACAATTGTTTTAAAATAATGAGAAAGATGACCACAAGTACCCACTCGATTTTGGATGATTTATTAAACATTGAAGATTTTTCGGTAGCATTATACATTCGTCAGTGCTGTTTCTGTCTAATGTATCAGTATCTAAAGAGCACAAGCTATCAATACTAGTTGATGATAATCTAATATTAACAATTGATGTTGACGATCTCAGAGATTCTATTGAACTAATATATTCATTACAGTTATTGTTATAATTTAAAGAAGGTGATTTTCTCGATTGTCTTGTACCTTGAATTTAGAGACAAGATTAACTTTGAAAAAAAATAAAGATTCAATAAGAAAGATAGATACTTGAATGTGGTTTGACTGTTAGTGTTGGTACTTTTGATGATAAATTTGATTTGATCCGGACTTGTTTTCCAATAATATTTATTCTATTGATTGGATTTGATCGTATTTTCAAGTGTTTTAAATCAATTTTAGCATTTCGTTTCTCATAGATCAAATTACTACTATTTATTTTTCTAGGTAAGAGAGGTAGCTGCAATTGACAGCAATGATATCTATTATTCAATTGATTGACTACAAAAAAAAAAACAAATTATCATAAAGTGACACAGAACAGAGATATTTATGACTGAGTTATATTTTACTCAACGCCTCAAGGATTGAATGTTTTTTTTCGTTGATCCGCGAACTACTTTACGGGTTGAAAAGTCATTAACCCGTTACGGGACTGTCCGCGGATTAATACAAATCTTATTAATAAAATAGTTAGTTATAAGTTCGTTAGTTTTCTAATTATTTGTGAAACTAAGATTTTTATAATTAGACTAGTATCTTTTATTTCTGAACATATACATAAACATTATAAAATTTCAATTAAACTTCAAGACAACAAATAGTGAAGTAAAAGTAATAGTATATGCTTATATATACAATGGTAGTATTGCAGCTACGACTTCTACTAGAATAATAATAATGATAAATATGTAAAAAAAAATAGAAAAAGGACTCGATTACACGTCATTCATTCTCATTTTCTACGTTGAACGCACTAATAATATATCATTCAATAAACTTGATTTTGTACGAGTGTAAGTATTGATGTGAGTACGACTTTACGATTCAGTGCGTCTAAGGAGAAGACCCACACTCCACATGCAAAGCGTATTCATTTATGTATATGCTTTAAACCGAGTAGGTAAATGAGTAGAACGAAAAACTAATAGAAGCAACTAGATCAGCGAAGGAATGAAACGGGTTGAGCGCACGACTATACGTAAAAAAAATAACTTGATCTATGAAACTTGTAAATCGTGAAAATATCTAGCCCAAGATCTCTCAGAAATTTAATCCGCACACGGGTTACGAGTCGGACGAGTTGAATTCAAAAGAATCAGCCTGTCAACATCTCTGACATAGGAGTAGTATTATTTAAAAAAAAAAGAGATTAATTGATCTCAATCACTGAACTTTTTGGTATACTATCTTCTTCAACATTCGATTCATTAAATGAACATTGATTTGATTGATAAATATCAATTGAAGTGCACAGTAGATGTTCTTCACTATCTAAAATATATTTTTAAAAAATAAGAAACATAATAATCATTTCTGACCTTGTTCAATATCAAAATCTAGACTATCATAATTATCTTTTTCAGTCGAATTAGATGTAAATGTATCGATTTTATCTTGTTGTTCATTGGTAGCTAAAGATATTGTATCAGTTTGATAATCTTGTTTTTCAGTATCAATACCAAATTGTTCTGTTTGATCATCATCATTTTCGTCATAATATTTTGAATTATTGATCGTTGTTAAAAGAAAATCTGGTGTAAATTCTGTACTAACTTCTAAACATGTATTTGAAGAATCTAATTCAATATAATGTTGAAATTTTTGTTCAATACGTTTAAATAAATGTTTCGTTTCTTCTTTTATTGTCCAACGATGATGAAAACGACGTATTAATGAATTAATAGTTGTTTCAGAATATGAAATTAATTGATGATAAGAAGATGAATATTGTTGATGATGATGAATATGATAAATAAATGTATCTGAAAAAGCATGATTCAATCGATGACCAGGTAAATGAAAACTAACTGAACAAACAACAAATAAGTGATTGATTACAGATTAATGATATTATTTTTACCACTTGTTGACATTAATTCTGTGTGACTTGTTACTTTTTGTGATGATAATGATGTATTAATAATTTCTTCTTGTTTCATTTCAAACGATGAGGATTTATGCATTGAAAACTCAAGTATATTATGAATTGGTTCAGTATGAAAATGTATATGATTGGCAGACTCGAATACTTTTTGATTATTTAATTGAAGAGTCCACTCAATATCAGTTTGTGTTTCAACAGTTGAAAATTGAGAACAATCATTTTCATTGGTCGATATCATTTTTTCGTTAGTATTCTTCTTCGTCATCAATTCAGATATGATCTTTTCATTATTAGGTATTGCTAAATAGGTTAATAAGATAGCAAGTTGACTAGCGATTGTTACTCGTAGAGATGTTATCTTTTGTTCAGTTAATTCATGTTGAAGAAGTGTTCGAATTAATATACATAGTTCTTCTATAGATTCGAATAGTGAATGAACTTTTTTTGGTTGATGATTTTCGACAACAATGTTAGATTCAACAAATGGTGATGATGATAGTGAATCAACACTTAAAATTTCAGTCATATTTCCAGTAGCATCAAATAATATGTATGGTGTTTGACTGATATCATTATTAATATAATGATGAGAATGGAAGTCAAGAAGATTATTGTTCGATGATGTTGAAGCAAGTTGTGTTGACATGGTTGGAAAAAATGAAGATAGAATATTGTTGAGAAAAATAGATGGAACTTGTGATGGAGATAATATTTCAATAAAAGTTGGAAGTTCTTCGATATTCTCAGTATCGTGTAATAATGATCCGTTAGGTGTTATTTGTACTAACATATTTGTAGAAGAATCATCTTTGATATCATTATTAGACAATGTTAATGGAGAATTCGGTATTGTCTGATTAAGATATTTTTCTATCATAATTAATTATTTGAAAAAAAAACAATTGATTGAATAATATAATTTTTTTTTTGAATATTATATTACTTTTATTTTCAATCGCTATATTGTCTGTAGGATATATTTCTAATTGATGTGCTGTTTCAAGTGAATGTGTGACTGGATTCATTGTATTCGAATTATCATCATTATCAACAAATTTTTGATCTACATCAATCGATTGAATAATTCTATGGTCAGCACTTGAATTGGATAAATTAGTCGGAGAATCAATAGATAATGATGTATATGATACATAAGAATCGGTAATATTTGAGATAACTTTTGATGGTTGAGAGCTATCAATCTCTGACCGTTTATGAAGAGGTGATAGCATAATAGGATGAATAGTTGATAATGAATGATATTGTTGCTGAAGATCTCGTTGAAATTGTTGAATACGATCATAATGCGATGGGGTAATATTTGCTTGAAGTTTACGCCATGTAGAAGTACGATTTAATGGTAATGTTGATTGACAAATTTGAGAAGAAGGTAAATGTGAAATCGGATTTTTCAATGACTTCAAATCCTACAAAAAAAAATCTAATTTTGATGAGAATAAAAATCTTTTCTTTTTTTGTTATTATATTGACCAACGACGTTTTCAATCGGTTGTTGACAGTTGGTTTATATGGTACTGGTCGTATTATATCTTTATACATCATATCGATAATATGTTCTTGATCATTAGTAAATCTTTGTTGTTGAAATTCATCAAAAGAATTTTCTAGAATAATCTCATTTTTTTTATCACCATCAGCCATTTGTGATGAATGATGACGTCCTACAATCGTTGTTGGTTTTTTCACCATATAAAATTCTACTTCATGATCTGCAGATTCTATAGATATTATTTTGTTTATCATTTCTTCTTTAGAAGTATTAGTGTCATTCATATGACGATCTTTTGATATTCTATAAGGATGAAGTAAATTCTTTGGTTTACATTTTGATCGTTGTGGTAAAGATTTTGGTTCGAAGGCATTTGTATTTCGATGTACTATTCTATTTTTCTGTTGATAATGCAATGATGATTGTGGCTGAGGATAGGACATAAGAAATTCTTTAGGTTAACAACAATATAAATTAAGGAATCGATGATAATGATGACGAGACATTTTAATAGGATACGAATAAAAGTAAGATAATCATTGGAGGTAAGGCCATAAATATTAAGATACCTTGAAAAAGAATCATTTGATAAAAAAAAAGAATAGCTCATTGATATTGAACGAACATGATCATGATGATTTAATAATAGATACAAGAAAAAGGTGTATCGAGATATTGAAAAATCAGGCGCCAAGTATCTATAGAATAACCTGTTGACACGAAAACGATTAAAAATGAACAAATTTATGCAAAGATGATATATTTTTTCAATGTTTGAACTCGAACAACATATTTATATTTAACATAGGTGTCTCACTGTCTTTTTCATTCTTTATCCTGTTCGTGCATCGATATTCACGAATGTGAGGTAGACACAAACAACGTACATGAATCACAATCCCTAAACAAATAGATGATCAATTATACTCCGCTCTTTTTTCTCCTTCATTCTCTTTTTCGATATGGGATATACATATACATATGCACATATACACACACTCATTATTCTCGAAGAGTCGATTTTACCTTGACTATATTCAACTGACGAAGACAACATAATAATAATGATATTCGCCTACATGTGGTTTCTACTTTTTAGTGGTATCGTGTCTATTATTGCAGCACAAGATTCCGAACATCTGAAAGGTAAATATGATCAAAATTAAATTAAATTGATTTATACGATTCATTTTTATTATAAATAGAAATGCGTTTTAAATTGTGGTTACAACCTGATACTGAAGAATGTTATCATGAATTAATAGATAATGGTACAAGTATATATTTTATATATGAAATTTTAAATGCTCAAACACATGATAGCAGTATTATTGCTTTTTTTCGCAATGCTACTAATGGAGATGTTGTAGCTGTTTCAACAGCTCCTCAACGAGGTCATCTTCAACTTATAGCAAATGCAACAAGTCAGATTATTTTCTTTTTTTGAATTATTTCATTTACTAATTATTCTATTATATTTTTAGGTGTAATTGACATTTGCATGACGCATACAAAGTCAGATAATTCCGCTAAATATATCTCTGTATTCTTACATGTTTATCATATTGAGAAAATTGCGGCTAGTATGAAAGACAAAGAAGATTTTGATAATTCGTCAATTATTGCTCATGTATGTAATATTTTTATTTAATAAATAAATTTTAAAAATTTTTACTATTTCTAGAATTCAATTGATTTTATTAGTTATCATATTCGTGTTATACGTGAAAAACAAATGGAATTGCAAATGATTAATCAAAAAGATTCTTATTTACTTGAACAAAATATATTATGGGTTAATCGATGGGCAATTTTACACATTAGTTTAATCATTAGTTGTAGTGTCTTTCAAACTTTTTTCATTAGACGTTTATTTCAAACACCAATTACAACTAAACGAGTGAAAAAATAAAATAAATTTTGTTTAATAAATTCATTTAGATAAAAAAAAACATTCGTATAGGATACAAAAGTTGTTTTTTTATAAATTGTCACAACTTTTGTAATCCACAACTGAATATTGAACAAACGTGCACAATTGAATAATTAATTCAATAATTCGTTTACGCACATCTCATAAACTAAGTTCTACTAACAGTCATTCTTTCACATTAAAGTTTCATTGCTGATAAGACATGTTGATTTAGTGACTTGAGATTTCAATTTGAAACATTTTACTTGACTGAAATTGATAAATGATCCTATGATTACATTAGATCGTTCTGCATGACACTACCAGAAATGAAGACGACGAAAGTGATGGTATACACCAGCCAATAATTGAAAATCAATTATTATTGTTCAGTAAAATTATAGAAGTATGAATATTCTACTTAGGATACGAATATTACAATTCAATGATTTAAAAATTTAAATTTCAAAATATCATCAATAACATTTAAAAGCTTAGTCAGCTTATGACAATTTGTTATATGTCATATTTTGAAAATGTTTAACACCATCATAGATCAGACGTGATGAAAATCTATGACATGAATGAGTAAGAGAAATTTCTAATATACAAATGACTTGAACAATTAATCGATTGAATTTAAAGTTTGTATTTTTAATGATAAATCAAACTATGAATAAAATTAGAACACAATATATGTCTTTGTATTAACATATTTCACGTCTTCATACATTTTTTTTATTCTTTAACTGATTTTAGTTTTTAATACTTAATACGCATACGAGCAAATAATTAAAGAAGCGCACCATTCATTTACATTTTATTTTGCAACAAGAAAGAAGGATATTCATATGAAGAAAAAAAAAATAAAAATAATGTTTAAGTAGGACTCATTGAAACTAATGATGATGTTGAATCAGCCGTATCGGATGGTTCTCCTTTGATAAGCATTGGCGCTGGTGATTCTTCTGAAGTACCAGATGGTATTTTTTTGTTACGTTTCCATTTCATTCGACGATTCTGAAACCTAATATTTTAATACAAAAAATATTAAAAAAAAAAACAATCTCGATTGAAAAAAAAAAGTTTTCTTTGTTTACCATATTTTTATTTGTGTTTCACTTAACATTAAAGATGTAGCCACTTCAAAACGCTATGAAATAATAAATAAAATTTTTTTCAGAAAGAAAAAAAAAATATAGAACATGTAATATTTTACTTTTGATTTTGATAAATATTTATTTTCTCGAAATTGTTTTTCAAGTTCAAGTAATTGTTGAGATGTAAATGCCGTACGTGGACGACGAGATTTTCCATAATAAGATAAAGTTGGACCTAAATAAAAAATAAAAATAAAAAAAAATTTATTCATTTTACTTTTAACGGTGTTATTTCCTGCTAAAATTATTATTTAAGATGCATATGATCATCACATCAACTTCTTGATCATAGTAATAACTTGAACAAATATATCTTGGGCGCTCAATTGACTTTTGATCATGTGTGTCAACAATTATACCGACTTCCTCTATCTCTCTTAGTCTGATCATCAACAACATCAGCAAATGAAAAAAAAAGAGGAATGTGTGAAAAATCGCGTCTAACCATAATCAATAAGCAATTAATGAACTCGATGTCTAAGAGTGTAAGAGACAACAAGAGAAGAAAAAAATCACTCAACATCAATAATCAATAATTATCATTTTTTCTTTATAAAAATAGAATTGTATTTTAAATCGATTTCTAAGCTCGGATAAACTCAAATATATATATATATATATAGTCATTTGAATAATTCTACATGATAACTACCTTGATAAGATGTACCATTAAGTTTATGTAATTGATAAAAATCATTTGAACAAGTTGAAGATGTTCCAAGTGAAAAAGATCTTATTGAATTTGTTTTATTATGATTTTGTTCATTCAAATGTGCGGCAATAGCAGCATTTTTACAGAATATATTATATAATTGTTGTACACTATTGTTTAAAATGAATTGATGTTGTTCTTCAATTGAATTATTTTCTTCTTCATGTTTATTATTTTGATCACCGAGAATCGAAGCTATTGAAAATGTTGTCATGATTTTTCAGTTATTCACTCCAAAGCATAAATGGTTCTACTATAACTTGTTGAAAAATATAGAGGAGAAACAGAAGGAGAAAGAGAGAAGAAGGAGAGAACATGAGACTCATGATCGATCAATCAAAATTATCATCATCATCGTCTAATTTTTTTGCAGTTGTTCTCTGCGTTCTTGAGTCAACAATTGATGCAAGCAACGAAAAAAAAACGGAGTTAGCAGTATAAGAGAGAGAGAGAGAGACAGACAGAGATAACACCTCGTTCTCTCTCTCTCTCTTTTGCTCAATAAAATCCAATTGAACACGATTATCTGTCATTGAATGAAACGAGAACTGTGTTTGTGTATATATTTGCTCTCCCATCATCGCTTATTAATTGACGGATATTAAAATATGTCAAGCGCAAGCTGTCCACGACGACTAACACTAACGCGACAATTCATGATCAAAAGACAGTTTAGAGAGAACAAGAAAAAAAACAAGAACTCTTAATTTAGTGATAAAGAATAACGATGAATTTCGTTAAAGGACACAAGTAGTTTTTTTCTTTTTGTTTTCTTGTCATGTATATTAACTTCTACATAGGTGACGGTTATATTTTGTTCAAGTGTATGTTTGCATGTCGAAAGTGGATAGTGAGAAGTTGGACACGGCTGATAAATGTTGTATTTATATATATATAGTTATCAAGTACCAAAGCATGACAAGTTGATGATGAACAATCATGTTGTTTTCATCGTTTGAATTAGTCAGAAAGAAACTACCGTTTAAAATATATATATATATATTGAAAAAATGGAAGTGAATAAATAGTTCAAAAACTCTATTGTTTGAATGAAGTCAGGAATAGAGAAGAGGAAATGTCATGCCCATATAATCTTGAGTTGAATATAGGTAGATCATTTATTTCTATGAGTATTTGCTCATATCTTTTTTTTTTTTGTACTCTAACGACATTATCAAACACATCAGATATATTTCTCTGTAATATTTGTTTTGAATATGTAGTTCATTTTATCAAAATCATTGACATTCATAAGATAACAGACACAGTTATCAGTTTAATCAGAAAATGTGTTAATAAAAATTGATTGTTCTTTTTTCAATTATCTATCTATTGACAATTTATAAAGTTAATTTTCATTGTTTTTTTTTTAATGAATATCTACCTCGTTTGGTATCATTTAATTTGATGTCGATGTTGGATCTTGTATATATAATTTAAATTTTTTTTTATCTATTTTATTCTTTCTTAATGAATTATAAAAATTTTTTATAAAAGAAATGATCAAATTAATTTAACTAGTAGTGTCAATCGATGTACAATGTTATATAATGAAATGCGTAGTATGACTGTGTCTTTTCCTTACGACTTTGTTGTCGTTTCTAACAAGCATAAAATATTTTCATGAAAAAAAAAAACTAATATCTATTTCAAATGAAT